GTGTTGAATCTAATGTAAAACTAGTAGTTCAATTGGGTAAAGATGCACATTATCATGTTATAGGTCAATGGTTTGACTTCTACAGGCTGTATAATATTATTTTAGTTGCAATTACATTTAAATTACTCCATGACTCCTACAGGCTATTTTACATTATTTTAGTTACAATTACATTTAAATTACTGTAATTACTCCGCACATGCAATTGGGTTCGATTACATTATTTTAGTTACAATTACATTTAAATTACTGTAATTACTCCACACATGCAATTGGGTTCGATTCCTCCAGAGATGCAAATGTTAAAATTACATTATTTATTGAATAAATATTACTTATTCATTGAATAAATATTACAATTATTGTTTTTTAATGATCAAAAAATTATAACTTTAATGCAATAATTAGAAACATTAATATTTTATAATAATAAATAAGTGGATATAAGTTCTATTTTTTTTTATAAAAAATATATGTTCTATTTCAAATTATGTAAAATTAAATGTTACAATTACATTATTTTTATATTTAAATTACTTATTTATTGAATAAATATTACAATTATTGTTTTTTAATAATCAAAAAATTATAACTTTAATGCAATAATTAGAAACATTAATATTTTATAATAATAAATAAGTGGATATAAGTTCTATTTTTTTTTTTGGATAAAAAATATATGTTCTATTTCAAATTATGTAAAATTAAATGTTACAATTACATTATTTTTATATTTAAATTACTTAATTATTGAATAAATATTAAAAGTATTATTTTTTTAATAATAAAAAAAATTATAACTTTAATGTAATAATTAGATACATTAATATTTTATAATAATAAATGAGTGGATATAAGTTCTATTTTTTTATTGATAAAAAATATATGTTCTATTTCAAATTATGTAAAATTAAATGTTACAATTACATTATTTTTATATTTAAACTATTTCAATCAATTGCATGTTACTTATTTAATTATTTAGAATTTGTAACATTGTAGAATGCCTCCTAAACAACACGATATTGGTTGGGAACACGCACCACTTGTTAGTGGTAATTGATGGATTACAAAGTGCAACTATTGTGAAAAAATAGTTCATGATGACATTACTCGAATGAAGCAGCATATTGCACATATATCCAGCAACGTAGAAAGATGTCCACGTGCACCAAAAAGAATTGTCATAATTTTTGAGACAACATCTCAGTGATTATAGTAAAGAAAGGGCTTCTATAAAAAAAAATAACAAATTATACAATCATTACGTGATGAAAATTGTTATAATTTGGACGACGACGATGATGATGGTGAGAATCAAATTGAAGAGGGTGATTTTGAAAGAAGACAGTTAAAACATGCAATGAAGGAAAGTCATCAAATGACTTTGATGGAGGAAGAGGGTCGTAGGCACTCTGTATCAATTGCAAGCAGTCGTTCTAATAAGGATCATTTTTTTGGTGCTAGATCGTCACAACCATCTGGCTCAGGAATAAAGCGCGGCCCACCACGTAGCTATAGCGTAAAAGAAGGTGCAAACGTGACTGTAAGTGGCATTGATCCGTACATGTTCCCATCTAAACAAAAGTCAGTAAAAGACATGTTCTCATGTGATAACCTAAAAAAGTGGAAAAAGTTATTTCGAAGTTTTTCCTCTTCAATGCAATGTCATTCAATGTAGTTGATAGTGAACCTTACTAGCAGTCAATGTTTGACACTATTGCGGATGTCGGCCCAAGTATTAAGGGCCCCACATGATATCAAATTGGTAGTTCTTATTTAGAGGAGAAGATTCAAGAGCTTGAAGTGTATATATTCTCGATGAAGGTAAAATGACCTTAATATGGTTGCACAATCATGTCTGATGGGTGAAGTTCTAGAACAAAGAAACTCATTATCAATTTCATGATTTATTGTGATCGTAATATGATTTACCATACTTCGGTTAATACCACCAACATTTCAAAAACTAATGACTATATTTTCTCTTATGGATAAAGTTGTTGATGAAGTTGGAGAAGAAAATGTAGTACAAACCGACAATGATGCAAGCTTTAAAACAGTTGGTAAGATGTTGATGGATAAAAGGAAACATCTATTTTGGTCTCCTTGTGCAACCCATTATATCAATTTGATGCTAGAAGATATTGGTCATATGAAAGTAATTAAGGAGACCATATATGATGCTAAGACGATCACATCATTTATCTACAACAGCCTCAAAGTGGTCAACTTAATGAAGCAACATATTAGAGACAGAGAATTATTGAGGTCAAATATAACACGATTTGCCACTGAATTCATCATCATTGAAAGTCTTATTCGTTATGAATTGGACTTGAAAAGAATGTGCACCACTGTTAAATGGCATGAATTCAACAAAGACTAGAAAAGGAGAAAAACAAGAGATATAGTCTCAAACCTGATTTTGACTGACCAATTTTGGAAGAAAACTAGAGAAGTTCAATTCATCATGGAGCCTCTTGTTAGGTTCTTAAAGATAGTTGATCAAAACAAAAAATCGACTTTATCAATTATCTATGAGGCAATGGACAAAGCTAAACTAGTCATACAACATTCAGTCAAAAATTAGAGAAAATACTGGGCCGTAATTGACAAAAGGTGGGAGACTCAATTGCACAAACACTTGCATGCAACAAGTAAAAGTATTTAAAAATATAATTTTTTCATTGTGTATTAACTTGTAAAATAATATAGTTTTCTACTAACTTACATTAAATTGTCAATAAATTTGCAGCTTATTTCTTAAATCCAGTTTTTCAGTATTCTAATCAATTTTTCGACCATCCTGAGGTAAGATCTGGTTTGAAAGACGTTATTAAAAGATTGGAACCACATTTAAATAAACAAGCAAGGACAATGAATGAGGTATGATGATTTTTGATAATATTTATTATAATATATATACATGTATTGGTCGCATACGTAATACATTACACAATAAATTACAGATCAAATTATATATTGACAAACATAAGGAGTTTGGAAATGCACTCACTAGGAAAGCCGTACATGCCTCACTTCTAGGTTTATTATTTAAAATATATGTATTTATTAAAATATCATTTGTTACTCTTATGGACAAATTCTAATATTGTACATTTTTTTTTGTAGCTGAATGGTGGATCAATTATGGTGAAGAAGCTTCCTATCTACAAAAAATTGCAATCAAAGTCTTAAATCAAATATGTTCATCATCAGGATGCGAAAGAAATTGGAGTACATGGTCGTTGATCCATACAAAACTTCGCAACTGATTGGCAATGAAAAAACTACATAAGCTAGTTTTTGTGCACTACAATATACGGTTGCGAGTTAAAAATTTGACATATCAGCTTAAAAATGATGATTTTTATAATCCAATTGATCTGAATTACATTTTTAATGATGATGACACATTAAATGAGTGGATAAGAGAGGGGGAGGAACTAATTTTACCACCTGATAACTTAGGTTGGTTGGATGAAGATATTCGTGACATTGAAGAAGGTGGAAATTAAAGAGATGCAATTGATGAATGTGACACTAACACGGCTCCAACATCTAGCAACTATGCCACTACCAAAAGATCAGGAAAAGACACGAGACCAACCAATAAGGGTAAAAAGACTATGAGAATTTTTATTAGTTTTAGTGTTTCTTCTTTTGATGATGATGACGATGATGATAATGTTGCTGATACTTGTGGTGGTGGTGGTGGTGATGGTGGTCGTAGTACCACTGATAATGATGATGCTAGTAATCATGTTGGAGATAATGATGAGGACAACAAGAGTGGTAGTGAAGGGACTACTAGAGATGGTGGTAATACTCAACTAGCTGGCGGTATGTCATGGGCACAGGGGCAAGACAATTATTATGCCACACATGATACAAACCATGGATATCGATTAGGGGTTATGAAACAACGGAAGAATTTAAACTCTTTCAGTGGTGATGATTATTCCAATAGACGCCACCATCATTTACTTGGTCGACAAGATATTGATGATCATATGCAGAGTTTAAGATTGACATCATATGAAGGATACATGCCTTATGGACATCATCAAAGTAGTGGTATAGAATCTTGCTATGTACATGGATCATATGGATATGATATCCCTTTGCAGCTTCCGAGGTCTACTAGTACTAATAATGTTAGACATTATGGTCATCGCCCTACACATTTTGAGAGATCTACTAGTATTAGTATTGGTGGCTACTATGATCATGTTCCAAGGAGACATTATGATGGATCTTCTAACATGACATCATATAGTGTTAACTTTTATGGATATGATCAGTCTTTCTGCTAGTAATGACCTTAAATATCGTGATTTTGGGTATTATCAGTATGAGAACCAACCAATACAATCTCCATAGTCACACTACTTTGATTCATCTAGTCAATCAACTCAACCAACCCAATTAGACTCGTATTCACTCTTATACTCTTATCTTTATAGTGTACAATATCCTAATTTATATTATCCTAAAAACAATAATGATAATTTTGAGCTTCATTGTCGTTCAATGTGACAATGATTATGACTCAATATGTTCCTAAATGCATACATTGAACATTGATAATGATAATTATTTTCGGTAGTTATTTTATGTTTTATTTTAATTATGTTTAATGTGTTTTTAAATGTATTGTGGACATATAATTCATAAATGATGATGTCTATATTTTTATAATTTTTTAGAATTTTTTTAAATTTTTTTAAATTTCTATTTTGTGTTTTGATCTGTACCATGACTTTGAACCATGGTTAATTGGGAATCCGGGTTTGACCTGGCCCGTTGTCAGAACACCCCCAAGACCTCTGACCCATTCAAACTCAACGCGCCACCGTTGCTTACCACTCTTTCCCTACACAAACTTAGCTCAGCAGAGAGAAAATCAGATAAGCCTCCGAAAAATCCATAGTAAATTACTCATTCATACATCAAGATCTCTCTCTCACACACACACAACTGAATTGCCACCAACAATGTCGATCCAACGACCGCCGGAGTCCTCGTGGGACTGCATGCTTCCGGGCCCACCCTCCCGCCACAACGGCGGCTCCACCGATCTCTCCGCCACCGGCCTCCTAGCCTACGCTGCCGGGAGCTCAATTGCGGTCCTCGACACCCACTCCATGCAACTCATCACCACCATTCCCCTCCCTCCTCCTCCATCCTCCACTTCTCTCTCTCCCTTCATCACCTCCGTCCGCTGGGCCCCACACCCTCTCCCCCACCACCTCCTCTCCTCCGACACGCCATCCCACCTCCTCCTCTCCGCCGGCGACCGCCACGGCCGCATTTCTCTCCTCGATTTCCGATCCAAATCCCCAATTCTCTTCTTCGAAACTCCCAATTCCTCCTCCAAACTCGGAATCCAAGACCTCTGTTGGATCCAAACCCGAAATTCATGGGTTATAGCATCCCTCTCCGGACCTTCTCTTCTCTCTCTTTACAACACCTCCACTGGTCGTTGCTTCTTCAAATACGACGCCACACCGGAGTACTTCTCCTGTCTCCGTCGCGACCCCTTCGATTCACGTCATTTATGTGCTCTAGGCCTCAAAGGTTTTCTACTCTCAATCAAAGTCCTCGGAGACGAGTCAGAAAACGACGTTGTTTCGCAGGAGCATCAAATTTCTACGGACACATCGGAATTGCAGAGATTGGAGAGGGATGTGAGCGAATCCTCGCCGGCATTGGTGACTTTTCCGTTGTATATAGTTAAATTCGCGTTTTCGCCGCATTGGAGACATATATTGTTTGTTACTTTTCCGAGGGAGTTGGTGGTGTTTGATTTGAGGTATGAGGCTGTGTTGTCCTCCACGGGGTTACCAAGGGGGTGTGCGAAGTTTTTGGAGGTGTTGCCGGATCCTAATTTGGAAGTGTTGTATTGTGCTCATATTGATGGAAAGCTTAGTACTTGGCGGCGAAAAGAGTAAGCACCACCAATGTTACTTGATTAATTGTTGTTTTAGTTCTCAATGTCACTTGATCTGTTCATGAAAATGTGCGTTGTTGATATCTACATTACATGTTCCTACTTAATTTCATGATGTCGTTGGTTTATTGAAAGTGCTATTGCAGTGTTCTGAAAATGGAAATCGATCTCTATTATGCATAAAGCTTACTGTTGAAGAGTGGATTTACTTGGACAATGAAAGATCTATAATTTAATCTAGTGGGAAAGTGTTACTACCTGAATTGATATTTTGAGAGGAGACTGTTGTCTCATCATTTATAAACCAAGGTGCAACCAAATCTGTTAATGCTTATTTGAGTGTGGATGAGTGTGTGTGCCCGGACAACTTGGAAACAAAAATGGCCTTTCCATTTTTTTTTCAAATATATTATTGATCGTAGAAAAAGAAGGATTTTTTTTTTGTGCCCCTTTATGGTGGCATTAAGAAGTCTAGGCTATTTGGTTCTAAATGTAAAGTGCTTCCCTTTAGTTGATTACAGTGTGATGGTATTTAAAATTTGAGCTTCACGGGGCCAAATTTTGGAAACAACAGAAAATGACCGATTAAAGGAAGCCTCCAAGCTAGAAAGCATGAACACTTCATTTTTGGCAAGTTGTTGGTGTGGGACACGTTAAAATGAGTGTGATTTTTTTATTATTAAATTTTTTTTAAGACATGTTTTGGACATGTGACCAACACGCTTAGGACAGGTTGGAACAAGGTGCCGACACCTTATGAACATGTTTTGAGATTTATTTTCAATTTTTTGAGAACTTTTCAAATAATTTTATAATTAAGAGTTATTTTGATAATTTTAAAGGGATATGAGTCACAATCATAATATAAAAGAAGTTATAATCATTATATTAAACATAGGACATGATGTAACATAATTGTGGATACGAATATGAACTTATATACAAATGAAATAAACTTTTGATAAGAAAGTAATGTCAAAAAAAAAATGAGGTTACAAAATTGGGGCTCTTGGAAATTGATGAAAATTACTGTTACCGAGTGGAATATTTTTAAAAATAAAAGTTGTAGTAATCATTGATGGTTGGATCATGAATGTTAATGTTGAATATGTATCGGTATATCTTATATGCATTTGAATTTTTAGAATTAAGGAAATGATGAATTAAAAGATTATTATGATAATATTTTTATTTTATCACATGATTATATATATACATATTATTTAACATATTGCCAACGTGCCCGTGACCTTTTTTTTTTTTTAAATTTCGTGTCAACGTGTCCATGTTGTATCGTATTCTTGTCCAGTATCCGTGTATGTGCTTCTTAGCCTCCAAGAATTCAGAGCTAAAATATCTACAATTATTGATTTTGTGAAATGTATATGATTAACTTTTGGTCTAAAGCTACAATTATTGATTTTGTGAATTGTTGATGATTTACTTTTGGTTACTTTAGACGTGAGGAATTCATTTGTTGGACTTTTTGGAAATTTTCTTGAAGTTCGAGCGAATCATGGTGATCTGAAGCAGGCTTCGTTATAACTGGCGTGTTGTTTTTTCTGTCGTTGCTTGCTTGTTATATTTGCAGCTGGAAACCCAGTAAATAGGATCTGCTGCCTTTGCAATTTTCATCAACGAAACTTTATGTTTCCTTTGCATAACATGCTTGCCTTTTACTTTACAACTTTTGGGCTGGACTTATGGGAATGTTCTTACTTGCATAATATCACAGAGGTGAGCAGGTGCACATGATGTGTTCTATGGAAGAATTGATGCCCTCAATTGGCACATCTGTCCCTTCTCCCTCAATTCTTGCTGTTGTTATCTCCCAATCGGAATCCACTCTCCAAAATATTGGGAAGCTTTGTTCTGATGTACCTCACACATCTTCACTTGATGTGGATATTGATAATCCTTTTGATTTTTGTGATGAATCTTCTGTCCTTTTTAAGACACATTTGATATGCATTTCTGATGATGGAAAGATATGGAACTGGCTTATGACTGCTGAAGGGCCTGGAGATGTTCAGAAGGCTATAACAGACAGGGGCATTGTTGCGGATGTTGGTAAATTGCCAGTTCCAGAGATGAACTCTTTGACTGAAGTTACCTCTGGCAGTGACTCTGCACTGGATGCAGTTAAACAATCAAATGATGTGGATAGTGGTGGAAGCTGTCCAACCAACTCCACTACCAGCCAGGAAGAGATGTCACTTAAGGTTTGTTTATATGATTTTTTTTCAATCAGAATTGCATGTCGGTTTTATCACTGCCACTCGGTAATTGTAAACCTTACATTAAAAGGGTTGCTGCCCAGTTTGGTCCCCGGTAATCAAGAGGAGTAGGTTACAAGCCTAACCGTTGGCATTAGGTGGATGTCCTCATATTCGAACCCGTTGTTAGCCCAATAGTTTGATCCCTGCATCAGGCAACAATTCCTTTTATCAGAATAAACAGATAAATAAATTGTTTAGAAGAAGTTCTCAAATCAATCTAAAAAAGCTGGTGTTACTATTTGGCCAGTTGTATCTGGTATGGAGAAACCTTGATGGTTCTTGACAGAGGTAGCTCAAAATTGAGAGTCTTGTCACATCCCCCCCCCCCCTCACCACCCGACGCCCCCAACACACACAAAAAAAAGGGAAAAATGAAAAAAAGAAGCGAAAAATGATCCTAATGTGAAGTGCAAAGACAATGTTTGTGCAGAATGTTTTCAGCCGGTTGCACAATATGTGGAATGGTATGTGGCTGATGGGACCTTTGCATGATAATCCAAGTCTCAATCTGGATTTTGATGTAATAACGGACCTAATCATTCTTTACTCTTATCAATATTTTACCTGGCCTTTTTCTGCTTATTTTGCAAAAAAATGTATCTTTTGGCCTATCAATGGTGTGGGAGGTCTTGCGTCCATATCGGAACCGTCTTTGCTTGATCATTTTCCTGTTTGCTGTATCACTCAAAGGATATTTTGATTTTTATTTAAGGTGAAAGGGCAGTCGACCACAATTAATGGCCAAAGATAACAATTAATGGAAAGAAATAATGTTTGTCCAGAATCTTGTTTTTAAATGAATTAATCGTAGCTCCAATTTCATAGAAGTCTATTTGTGAGATCCTTATGGTTAGCTGTTGAAAATCCCTATTTATTGGACTAAAGGTTTAGAATGAGAATGCTATTCCTGTATTAAGTTTGCATCTGGTGTGCACAGGTGGCGCATAGTCATCTTTCTTTTGGCTTTGTCTTAAGATGCATAAATGAGGATGAATCATTAGTAAAGAGCATTATTCTTATTCTGTCTCCAATTGCAATTGGTTATCATCTCATAGTCATAATGCTGACCTGTGATGCAGATCAGTCTAGTTGGTCAGCTTCAACTTCTTTCTTCGACTGTAACTATGCTGGCTGTACCCTCCCCTTCTCTAACAGCTACATTGGCACGTGAGTTTCATCTGACATTGTTTTATGCTGTATCTGTCAAATTCCTAATGCCCTTAGACACTTTTGGAGTTGGCAATACTTTGGATGTCAAATATTAGATTTGCCAGTTGGTTGATGAAATATTTACACTCGAAGGTGGGGGAAACCATCCTGCTGTAGCTGTTCCACTAGTTGCTTTGGGAACTCAAAGTGGTACAATTGAGGTCATTGATGTTTCTGCCAATGCTGTTGCTGCAAGTTTCTCTGTTCATAATAATGTTGTTAGGGGATTACGATGGCTTGGAAATTCTAGACTGGTCTCATCCTCCTACGCTCAGGTATATTTCAAATATTGTTACTTTTTGTTTCCTTTTGCTGTCTTTGACTCTTGGAATCCACTTCCATTATTCATTCCACTCTCAGGCTTGTCTTATAATTACATTTTTCACTTATTAGGTTTTTGATGCCTTAAATTTAATATATTTTGTTCTGCCCTTTGCCCTTTCATCATGTGCAATCATTACTTTGGTGGACTCAGGGAAACGAAAAGACTGGAGGCTATATTAATAGGCTTGTTGTGACCTGTCTTAGAAGTGGCCTTAATCGAACATTTCGGGTTTTACAAAAGCCAGAGCGAACGCCCATAAGAGCTTTAAGAGCTTCATCGTCTGGAAGGTTAACTTCAAACCTGGTTTCCTTTCTAATTCTTTCTGTGTGCTACTTTTTAACATCACATGTACATGCTCACCCACTTAGCTACATACAAACATGAAACTTCGTACTGTAATTGAACTGCTGAAAGATGCTTGTTCTTGGTATTTTCTGTCCCTATGTCATACCAAACTGGGATACAAATCATTTCAAATCCATAAGCTCAGATGTAGAGTTGGAGAGGTGAAATTTTAGTTGGGGGATGGGATTTGTGTGAGGCGGGTCAATCCTATTTTTCTGTGAGCTTGTTGTCAGTCACTTTGAAAACATAAAATTTCAATTTGTTTTGCATCTGAAAATACTATTTTTGAGGTTCCTCTATTTGGGATAGTTCAGGAGTTTTTTGAGTTTAAATTACTTTCAGTGGAGATACCACTTTTTTTTTTTTTTTTAACTTTTTTCCCCAGTTAGTGCTCTATTCTTGCAAATCACACCTTCATGATCACCTTGTAATGACACATTTCTTATGATTTTGACAATTTGTAGGTATCTTTTAATCTTGTTCCGTGACGCACCTGTAGAGGTGTGGGCAATGACAAAGACTCCAATTATGGTAGATTGGCTGATTCTTCCTATTTTTTTTTGTGCCTGATATGAAATTTTCCATGTAGTATAGTTATTCATTAGTGTATGCTATGTTATTTATCTACTTTTATTTGAAGCATATTAAATTCATTGACTATAGTGGATCTTGAGAGACATCTTTTCCTAGATTGGTTCTTTTTATTCCATTTCTGGATGAATGGAGATAATAGAACAATAGAACAACAACAGATTGAATTGTGTTATTCAAATAAATCGAAAACCCTCGAATAGCATTACCAATTTCTCTTTGTATGGTATTCCATTTCTGTTATTGACATATAACAGAGAGAGGAAGATTGTTCAGATATAGCAGCTGGCAACTGTTGGAACGAACTCCAAACCCACCACTTGCTTACCTGCCTAGAAAGGAAAAAAAAAGAAACTCAAACCTTGTGGCATAACTACAAGTACCATGGGAACCTAAATTTTGTTCTATCTCATAGAAAATGATCCCAATCTAATCCATATTAGCATAGGCACTCTCCTCGCACCATACTTTTCCAGCATGAATCTACCGTAAGGCTTTAGATTGCAGCCATGAAAATCAACTTGTTCTAAATTTGGAATCTAATTGAGCAGGCGAGGAAATAGATGATCTCTGTGAGTCATTCCTCTTAATTATATGAGAAATTCAGCCATGATTGTCCTTGGATATACATATCAAGATCCATATCTTCCATGTCTCTGCTTGATCAACATATGGGGGCCACTGGTTAGAGATATTTGTCCAACACATGCTCACTCTTATGAGTTTGGGATAGAAAAACAGGTTGGCTGGCCCTGTCTTGTTCGTGACTTCGCCCTCCATTAATGAGTTTAGCCTATAATACTCTCTTTTTATGTGCAACTAAAAGCGTCGCTTAAATTGTGTTCTGATTGGAGAAGGAAAAAAAGCAGAGTCATGATTTGCATCTTTATCCAATCATTTTCTTTGTGTTGATTGTAATTAAGAAAGCATAATGCCAAGTATGTGATGTTCTCAGCATTAATTCATAATAGGTTGGTGTTATAGCTAGTGTCTTTTCACTTTTCTGCATCCACGTAGGACATTGCCTCTTTAATTGCAAAGCAACATGCCTTTGTTGTTGCTGATATTGCTGTTCTAATTTTTCAATCTATTTCTAGCTATTTACTGTGCTGCATCTCGTCATGCAGCTACGATCATTAGCTCTCCCGTTCACGGTATTGGAATGGACTCTTCCCACAGTTCCACGGCCGGTTCAGAATGGTTCTCCTAGGCAATCATCGTTATCATCCAAAGAAATTAAAGCCATGCCACCTGCTGGGGCATCTTCCCCAACAAAAGCAACTTCGACAGATTCCAGTGAGCTTGTTTCTCTTGCTTACAACATGGTTTAGATTCATATTTTGTGTATAAATATCTTTCTTGATTTTCCTGTATGTTAAATTTTTTTTTTGTGCAAAATTTAACTTCTAACTACAGAGGAAGGGGGCTCAGATGCATCACAGGATGATTCCTCCGAAAGTTTTGCCTTTGCACTGGTAAATGGTGCACTTGGAGTGTTCGAGGTTCATGGGCGAAGGATACGAGATTTCAGGTATATTCTTCTTGCTTATGAATGCGTGCACTAGGATGCCATCATTTTGTTGTTACTACTTTCTGAGTTCTATCCTAATGGGTCATAAATAGTCATTTAATTCCATGCAAATATGCAATAAAATCTCGCCACTAGTTTTCTTGATAAACACTGCCTTATTTTGTCATCAGGCTTGTTGTGTTTTAGTAAATCTTTTATTAGTTTTGTCCTTTGATAGTTTCTGTGGTTGGTTCACATGTCACGAAATGTATTGGAAGTTTATTAGTTAGCACAAATTGTAAATGAGTACACTGTAAGCGAATTTGAATTATTGGTGAATTTGACTCCGTACTTTACAGTATAGGCCGTAATGGAAGAATAATTTAGGTTTTTTATTGCTTGATGAGTTAGGCGGAGTCCATATTTTCAATTGTTAGCACTGCAATGTTGCTATGCTTGAAAGCTGGGGCCAATTTCTGCGTTGTTTGGTCCGCATATCAGGATGCATACTTTCATGCTTTGTGATTTATTATGCCGAGTTCCAGGCAATCTAATTGTCAGTTTTTTTCAAGTGTTATATATATGAGGGATCTAGATTGACGCAAGAGTCACATTGTGAATACTCTGAAGATCTCGGTGGAATGAAGGCTTTATTCCGCTGTATCTGAAGATCTATCACAGTTATTATCTCTCTTTTCATTTTTTCCTCTTTTTCTCTTGCTGTACTATTATCACGATTCTACACAGTTCTTAATGTGCGATCTAGATTCTGGAGTCATTTTTGTCGATGTTGGTAGATGATCTTAGAAATGGTTCCACACACATGGATGGATGCTTATGAAGTCTATGAAAGGGATGACAGTGGGGTGGGTCTGGTGTGGAGTGCTCCTCCCCTCCCCAGGCCCTGGCTGAAAATGACTTTTTTGGGAGCAATAGCTGAGCGTAATCCCATGTTATTTTATTCGGGCAACTGCTTGCTGTGGCTGACAGTGAAACAGATGTATGCCTGATGATGTAGACCGTACTAGCTCTGATACCAATTGATGTAGACCGTACTAGCTCTGGTCTAGGCGACTCCTGTGGGTTCATGAACCGTAGCAGCAAGGGTGGCGAACTGAAGATGAATCTGGTCCTTTCTCCTTTTTGTACGTAGACGACTGGTTTGCAAACCTTGAACTTTCACCTTTCACAATTCTGTGTACTGAACTATGTGGCCAAAGGAGATGACTAAGTCAAAAGTGGTCGTGGATGATCGCAGTGTTGACGATGAACTATGATGAATGCTGCTGCTTTGTTCGGTTGGACCAATTTCAGATCTGGGATTTCCTGTTCTACCATGGCGATGAACAGTTTTTTTTTTTTAGAAATTTGCTATGGTTCAAATATGGTTTTATGGAGTGGAGAAATAAAGATTAAAGTTGGGGCAGTTTCAGTTTGATGGGGCAGGGTGATGGGAGGAGGACTACGACAAAGGCTGGATATTTTAGGATTTGACTTGGGTTTTGTGGGTTTACCAAGGGGCAACAAAATCTGGTTTTCTTCGTGGTGTTCGACTGAAGAGGGGCTGTACAATGGATGAAGGCAAGGGATGATTCTGATTTAGATTCAGTATACGCTCTCTTGTAGTAGACAGCAACTGGATGAAGATGTTAACTGCTTATGGCAATGAACGGCAACAGTACTGCTAATTAAAGATGGCTGATGAGTTTATATGGCAGCGATGGTGTTGGATTGAGATTAGGCTCTGATACTAATTGATGTAGACCATACTACTAGCTCTAATACCAATTTAATGTAGGTCGTAGTAACTCTGATACCAATTGATGTAGATTAAAAAGGAAAATAATTAAGGGATGAGAAAGAGAACTTTAGAGGAAAAAACGATTCTCAATATTCAATCAATTCCAGTCTGAATAAAAACTTACATCAACCCCTTTATATAGGGAAACCAAATCCCAAAATAAGGACTCCTAATATAGAGCTAACACTAAAAAGATAAATACCAGCTAATGTTTTACTAAATAAACAAATTTCAAAATAAATCTACAATAACTATGCAATCCCAATACAATCCTCATCACTTGATTTTCTCTGTAAGATTCTTGTGGCTGTTAGTAGTCAATGATGAGCTTAATAATGCTTTAGAACAAAACTCTCTTTGACAGTTTCATACATTTGGAAGGGATTAAAAGTTCTGCTCTTACAGAATGTTGTCTTTGGTCTTGGGGAAGCACAATATATCAGGAATAATAATTCGTTACTCAATATTGGCTTGACCCTTATAGCGTTTGCCTCCCCTCCCTACTCCTCCTTCTGCATCTTCTGTGCATATATATGTGGAAAAAAAGACAGAATGATCCACGTAATTGTTGTGTGTTTTTTTTCAAGTCGTCTTAAAGACAAGAAGGGATATGTGTATATCACTAATTAGTAATGAGTAAACACTTTCATTATACTCATCAGTTATTATGTTGTTGGCCGATTTACTCTTTAGTTGTGGATTCTAGCTTCAAGTTGGTTTTGCTCTTCCTTTTGTTTGAGATATATTTTCATATAGGATATACCTTTTCCTACTATTTTTTAATCCTAGAGTAGATCTGCCCAGTCTTTAGAAAGAAAAAAGAGAATTAAAACTGGACTGGATTCTGAAATCTGAGTTGCCTCTGTCAATTTCTCCTATTTGAAGTACTAAACTGTGGTTGGTTGTATCATCACTTGAGATTTCTGATTTTATTGTATCCAGACCAAAATGGCCTTCATCTTCATTCGTCTCATCTGATGGATTGATCACAGCCATGGCCTACCGTATGCCTCATGTAGTATGTACCATACTTATCGTAATTTCACTTTGTGATTGGCGGTGTAAGTTAGGATTTTCATGATCAAAACTTTCGGTTATCAGAGGCAGTGACACATTTATTTCTCAGGTTATGGGGGATAGATCAGGTAACATTCGTTGGTGGGATGTGACAACTGGGCAGTCTTCCTCATTCAACACTCACAGGGAAGGAATTCGTAGAATAAAGTTCTCACCTGTTGTTGCTGGAGACAGTAGCCGTGGACGTATTGCTGTATTATTTTATGACAACACATTTGCTGTATATGATCTTGTAAGCAAAAAATATGACAATTGTTGATTCCTTTTTTTTTTCTTCTCTCTGTGTATGTTCTTCAGAATTTGGAATTTTTATGTGTTATCTTCAGTATGTATTTATGTTCCCTGTGTGCATGATCTGCTGTCTTTATGGGTTTGTAAAATCTTGCCATTAATAGGGAACTGACATTTCCTTTGGTAGTATGCACATATTCAACTTTATATGAAATGAAAGTTCTGTTCCCTATCCAAAAAAAAAAATTACTGCTCCTTCATGCTTTTTGGTGGCCAATGTGATTTTAATTTGAAAAATCACTAACGGACTATTTCTCTGATTTTCCACACCTTCAATTCTGTATTGGGGGTAGGAAGCACCCTCTAGAAGACTTGTTTGAGTTTCAAAATTGCGTATATTCAAAATCTGGTATATGGAAGTGGAATATAATACTCTGCAGTAGTCATCTAATCTGCAATAATTTCATGCGCTTAAATGAATTTTGGCCCAGAACTTCAGTTTTTTTGTGGAATTGCAGGATTCACCCGATCCATTAGCCAATTCGCTTTTACAACCTCAATTTCCTGGAACCCTTGTATTGGAGCTTGATTGGTTGCCATTGCGATCGGGGAAAAATGATCCACTGGTATTGTGCATTGCTGGAGCTGATAGTAGCTTTCGCCTTGTTGAGGTTAATACGTAAGTGCCACATTTCACGCAAGTTTGCTAAAGCTTTCTCTGGTTCTAAATTCTGTCTTTTCATTCCAAATATTGAAATGTTGCATAGGGTAATACGATCCAAGTCAGAAACTATAGTGCTGCTTGCTACACTCATAATCATGCTCTAGAATTGCTGAAGCTGACTCATCGATATTGCTTCTTTTGACAAGGTCTGCACCCATGTCAACAGATATAAAACCTAGTATAGCAAGCCGTTCAAACTCTTGACACTAGCCTTTGGTTTTTTTAATTTCTAGGTTAGCCTATACAGCTTCCATTTCCACTCCTTTAACCAGTTGGGTATGTTTGGGCAATTATTTACCTAACAAACTATGCTATTCTAATAATCTAGCTTCTTTAATGGTGTCAAAAAGTTGCCAATTCTCCATTTCTTACTCTCTGAAGTTTTAGTTGAAGCAGACCACCTGGGTATTGTGGGCTGATCACAAATGCTAAGAGAAGATATTTGACTCCTTGTTAATAATTGTCACCATTTTGCAATGGATTCTGGAAAGGATTTGTTCGCTGCTTTAGTCTTCCTGATTTAGAGAGAGCGGTACAGTCTTGTGTCGCTAGTGAGGGACAGAGCTTAGATAATACTTGTATTTGATGTAAACCAGTGCTTGAAACCCTCTTTATTCAATCATTATTTGCAAGGATTTCGGTGTTGCTCTTTGTTCTTTTTCTTTTTGTGTCGTCTACATCCTGTGGTCTATAACCTCAAATATGTGAATAAAGTGTGCTGGAAACTTCTATTGATTGTATAAAGTCAAGAAAGGAGACCAAGTAACATTCAAACATGCCCTAATGTAGAGCATTGAACAGTAACTAATAAAAGCTCTCGAACTTGATGGACTGTTAAGTTGTTGCTGGTTAAGAATGTTGAAAAATAATACTTTGTATACTTACTGCATTGTATGGAGTGACTATATGATAGAGATCGAAAAGGGACTGGATATGGTTAAATTGAAGAATTGAATTTTATTATTTTTTTTAGTATTATTTAATTAGTTAGGGAATATTTGTTTGACTAATATTATTAATGAGAGTTTAACTAGGAAATTGTTGTAGAATTTTAGTTGGATAGGGATTTGAGAGTTTGATTATGAAACTCTTGTAGTATTTTAGTAGGAGAGTAATTTTTATTTTAGTAGGGGACTTGACCTATAGATAATTGTATAATTTCAACTATTTTTATTAGAGAGTGATATAATAAAAAGTGATTCTCTGTGGAGAATTTGTGTATTTTTTCACTGATTCCTTACGAGGATGAGGTAAATTCCTTTCACTCCTTATTCTTTCTTCTTCTCTTTTTATTCTCTGATTTTTAGTCCTTCCCGCCTTACATCAGTTTGGTATCAAAGTCCAACTTTGATCATATTTTTGAGACTTGTCTAACATGTTTTTCAGCCTTTTGTTCTAGTTCAGAAAACCCATCCTGCTGCCCTGCCAAAAAAATCCGTGTAATCCTGAGATTTTTGAAATTATAGATTTGACCCCTAAAATTTCTAAAATTACACTTTCATCTCCCAAAGTTTTAGAAATTACACTTTGGCCCCTAAAGTTTCTAAAATTACACTTTGGGCCCTAAAGTTTAGAAATTGCAGTGTTGCTCCTAAAGTTTCTAAAATTACAGTTTGGCCCAAGAATTTTCAAAAATTATAGATCAAACCCAAAATTTTCAAAAATTATAGTCTGATCCTAAAATTTTCTACAACTTTTCATGCTACTTCGTCAATTGAGATGGTTACCTATGTCGAATTACTTGTCAAACTTAAAGCCCATAATGCTAAGCTCGATTCGCTCCAAGCATCAATGGGTTCGCTCCACACATCAATGAAATATATTTATATCTATTATACTACTAAAAGTGGCTTAAGAAGAAAATTTTTGATTTCCTTATTTGCCCTTCAATAAGTCTATAATGTCGTTCTTATTCTTTCTTTCACTAATGCCTGATTGTATTCTTATCTAAAACAAAAGAATTTTTGCTACTTAAATGCATTGCTTGTTACTTCACCCTTCAGGTGTCCCTCTCTCTTCTCCTCTTTCCCTCTTCTCTCTCTCTCTCTCTCTCTCTCTCTCTCACACACACACACACACACACACCCCCACCCACAAAACTCCAGTTTAAAGGTTACTCATTCCAAGTTAGTAAACTTTTGTTTTTCTCTTTCACCCTTAACCATACAATTAAGTCATTTTCACACTTGAATGTAAACTAATTTTATCCCTTTTTTTGACCCTACACATTCTTAGACTAAATACTCTGACTACAGTTACAATATCTTATTAATGGGCTCTTACTTCTCTGCCTTACTGTCTGCCTATTGGGCTACTTGAAAGATGATAAGTCACAATTGGCAGGTATACAATGATGAGGATAACAAACAACAAACATAGAAAATATCATTTTAGAGCTTTGATGATGATTGTAGTCTACTAAAAAACCTACTCAAGAACATTCCACGATGGAAGTTAGTTACAACACATTTCTTGGACCTTTGTGATCCTTACTTGAACTTGTTTAGGAAGATCATTTTGTCAATTTCTAACACTTCGGATGTTATTCTGCTTTCGACTCTCGCAAGGTTGGGTACACTCAGCTCGATTTTTTTAAGAGTAGTTCAAGAGCCCATTGAACAATTGGTCAATGATAATTTTGGGTGGTGCATTTCTATTCAATAAGGGGCAATTTTGAGGTCTTAATTTTCATTGCTCTATTTCTGCAATATGTGGTTGTGTTTTTTGGGAATTCTCATATTGGCATTTTGCAATTGTAGGGATTGCTTTTGTAAATATTTGACTATGGGTCAAATTTTAGAAAAAAATTATTTGACTATGGCTTGTGTTGCATCTAAATGATTTCATATTGTAGATATCCTCCACATCCATATGCACTATGCTCGTGGATTACTTGAAATTGTAACTATTAAATGTTTGTTATCTAATTTTTGTTTCGCCATCCACCATCCTTTTTGTTTGGAAGTATGATGAATTTGTGTTTTTTCGATTCACTGTCAAAACATAGACACAAACACAAAACAGTTGAACGTCAGATTGCTATGGATGAATTATCGTCATGTTTTTAACTGCCCCCATCAATCACAGTTCTTTTCCAAATGTTTGTATAAGGTCAAGAATATGACAAAACACTTTGATCATTACTGATGCAGCATTAGATTATGACCTTTGTTCAAATGTATATAGATGCCTTATGCTTAAAATGAATCCCTCAAATTGGTCATATATCTATGTCGACTTTCTTTTCTATTGTTTTTAGTTGCATTCTTGGGTGGTAACCATTTTAAAATGTGGAAGACCAATTGCCTAAAACAAGCATTAATGTTAAAGATTTGTAATTAGTCACATAATTTTGTTGGTATATTGTTTGGTCATATTATGTTTTTGCTTCATGTTCTACTAAGAAATGAGAAAGATCCCAAACTCAAAAGTAGCAACATACCACATGGCTTGAAATATTGATTACATGATTTTTGGTGTTTCTACTAAACATCCAGCCCTCCGCGTTCATTTTTTTCAGTCAAGCTACTAGCATTGTGCTGGTGCTACTTTTTTATAAGTTGACATTAAAAGCACATACACAATAAAATTAAAATATATAACTCATGTTATTGAGGTTTTTTGATATTTGTTAAAACTTATCTTTATTTAATGATGTGGCATGAGTTAAGCAAATCATTGTTTGTAATGAGTAACTCTATGCATGTTTTCCTGAATTACATGTGATAGTTAGACGTTCATTTGCTACTCCACCAGAGGTTTGGCTTAAGCGTCTGTCATTGATAACTTAGACCTTTTATTAGATAATTGATTGTTAAATATTCATGTATCATAGAGATTTTGAGCTACTACCGTCTACCAAGATGTTATGTCATTGCTTCTATTGATGCAACACCGTCTCTAGGGAATATATTTTGTTTTCATTTTTTGTGTGCTTGTTTGTGGACTGCAGGTTTGTTTTTGGCAGAATTTTTTAGAGTTAAGTCTTGGGATATGACTGATCATAATTGAGTATGTATCCCAACATGGGTAATCAACGGATTCAAGTGTTCATGTTTGATGTAGATTCTTCTTGTTTTAATCTCCAGACTGATAATTTATGAGATAACACTATCTTAACTAAAACGAACAATTGAAATGGGTAGATTGTTACAGACCTAACTTTTAGTATTATTTGTGAAAAATTATTGTCCGAATGTTCAAATCTAGAAGCTCAAACTCAAATTCTCTTAAAAAGATTCACGTGCAACGCACGTGTGCAATGACTAGCCAAGGGTACTTGGGTCGTGGGTCTCTTGGGTTTGTGGTACAGATATGGGTATGCGGTACGATATTTTTTTAGATACGTGGTACGATGGGAGTAGGCTTAGCTGGTACGTTATTTTGGGTTACAATTCGTTTTAAGACTCTTATCTAGATTGTTTTCACTACTATACAACATTATATGTTATAAAACATCTATAAACATTAAGTCAGTTACTATTTATCTGATATTTTGCTTGATTTTCTATTATCTAAAATAATATATAATTATAAATTTATATATATGTAGTTAATTAATATGTATTTTATATTTGTGCTACATATTGGAATGCGAATTGATTTAGGGCTAGTATTATAATTTGGGATCGTACAATTTGGTGATCTAGATCGCAAACCCACCCCGTTTGGGATCGATGCACCTAGATTGTGGGTCGTCATATGTTTAGTGAATTCTGATAACCATGTGACTAATACATGAAGGTGTACACAAGTTGGCTGCCATGTTTGGAGTTAAGCTCCTAAATAAGTATCTTGCGAACAAGGTAGATTTTGATTCATCTTCTTCATCCATTGATCATCAACAAATAGTTGAACAAACTTTGCCCCAAGAAGTTCGTCCATAATTGCAGTTCTAGTTCAATTGAATGATGAGTAGAAATCAGATACCATTGATGAGCCTAAAAGTTCTCCTCATCATACATCAATTGTTTTTGATAAGCTAATCTCAAAGGATGTTCTTACAGAAGAAGTTAATGGAGTTTCAAAGGGTGCCACTATAAATGGAGTTGATATTTTGTCTCCACTAGATTATATGCTTCATTCACCTATATTAGTGTATGTGGATAAGACTGTGATGAATTCAATGCACGAAGGGATTATTTTTTACTATGGAGATCTACAATGCTATTTTCTTGAAACACAAGCTTCTTCAGATTTTTTGGAGTACTTGTGACCTTCCAACTTTTCGAAGAAGAGTTTTTTTCAATTGAGGAGAATTTGAAAATGGATTGGATGAAGTTAAATTGAAGAATTGAAGTTTATTATTTGTTTTAGTATTATTATATTAGTTAGGGAATATTTGTTTGACTATGAATATTAATTAGAGTTTAACTAGAAAATTGTTATAAAATATTAGTAGAATAGAGATTTGAGAGTTTGATTATGAAACTCTTTTAGTATTTTAGTAGGAGAGTAGTTATTATTTTAGTAGGACACTTAGCCTATTAATAATTGTGTAATCCCAACTATTTTTATTAGAGAGTGATATAATAAAAAGTGATTCTATATGGAGAATTTGTGTATTTCTTCACTGATTTCTTATAACCTAACATTCTACACTCCCTTACGTTGGAGCATAGATATCTCTCATGTCTAACTTGCATACATCTGAATGATACATTCTACTACTAAGCCATTTAATAAACACATCAGCTAGTTGTTCCTTGGATGTCACAAATGGCATACAAATCAGACCATTATTTAGCTAGTCTTTAATGAAGTGTTTGTCAGTCTCAATATACTTTGTTCTGTCATGCTGATCCAGGTTATGAGCAATATTTATGACAACTTTATTATCATAATATAGGCCATAGGTTCACCAATAGAGAAACTCAAGTCTTTCATGAAGGTTTTCAGGCACATAAGCTCACAAATATCACGAGCCATAGTCCTGTATTCTGCCTCTACACCAGATCTAGCCACCACTGTTTGCTTCTTACTCCCCCAAGTAATTAGATTTCCTCCTACAAAGGTACAATAACCGATAGTGGATCTCTTATCCTCAATTGATCTTGCCTATTCTACATTTGTAAAAGTTTCTATTCTCAAGTGACCTTACTTTGAGAACAATATTCGTTTGTGAGAAGATGATTTGAGATAGCTGAGTATACTATGATTGATCTCTTGATGAGGAACCTGTGGACCATGCATGAATTGACTAACAAGACTCACTGCATATGTTGGGCGAGTGTGAGAAAGGTATATAAGTCTCCCAACAAGCTTCTGATATCTCTCACTGTCAACTTGATCATCTACATCACTTCTCAGTTTGTGGTTTGTCTCAATAGGTGAGTCAGCTGGTATAGAATCCAACATATCGGTTTCGTTCAGGAGATCAATGATATACTTCCTCTATGAGATGAAAATACCTTTATCAGACCTGGCCATTTCAATTCCTAGGAAATAGCGTAACCCCCCTCAAATCCTTGATCTCAAATTCTTTAGCAAGATGAATTTTTAATTTGGACACTTCCTGTATATCATCATCTGTGAGTGTTATGTCATCATCATATTTTATAAGAATGGAGATCTTACTATATTCCCTTGTTTGATGAATACGGTGTGAGCTGCATGAATCTACTTCAACCCAAACTTGACCATTGCCTTAAAAGAATTTCTCAAACCAAGCTCTAGGAGACTACTTGAGCCCATAATGAGATTTCTTCAGTATACATACTTTTTCCTCAGTATCTAGAGAAGAAAATCTCGAAGGAATATCCATGTACACTTCTTCCTCTAAGTCCCCATAAAGGAATTCATTATTTACATCCAGTTGTAGTAAATCCCATCCCAAATTGACAGCATATGAGAGAATGACACAAATACAATTCATCTTCGACACAGGAGCAAATGTCTCCTGATAGTCTGTCGTACATCTGAGTACCCTTTAGTTACCAACATTGCTTTATGTCTATCTACTGTATCATCAACATTCTACTTGATAGTGAACATCTACTTACAGCCTATCGATTTCTTTCCGGCAGAAAAAACATAAGTTTTGAGGTTTCATTCTTTTCTAGAGCTCTCATTTCTTCTATCATGACTGCTTTTCACTTGGGTTTTGTTAGAGCTTCATTCTAACTCTGAGAAGGGATGTATAAAATAAAGACGAAAAAAAATCACGATAGGAGGACAACAAAGAGTTATAAGAAATAAATTTTGAAATAGAATGTTGGGTACAAGTTCGAACTCTTTTTCGAATAGCAATAGGTAAAGAACTATCATTAACAAAATTACTACAAGGAGGCTCATTACGTGATAACGGAGAAAAGATCTCAGGAACTAAGTTTGAAGATGATGACGAGCTTGGGGGCTCATGGGTGGTGATTTGCTTAGCCTATCGTCGGGTGTAGCATTGTAAATCCTCCCGATCTAAACTTTCGCAAGCAGTTTGTTCCCTGTGTTTCTCCCAGAGTTCCCCCGGCTAGATTTTCCTTCCTGACACATAATTTCAAAAAATAAATCAAAAATTGAAAAAGTACCTCAAATGGCTTCAAAAAAATTTAGAAAAATGACCATCATACTCGGGAGGAAAAATTGAGCCTTACCATATTAGTTTTAATTGACTCCGGCAAGGACTTCAACAGTCCAACAGATTAGCAAATCCTCTTTGAGTGTTCTAGTGACTCCAAAGTTTAGATAAATTATTTTGATACCAAGTTAAAATCTTAATCTAGGGTTTAGAGTGGGTAAGAGACAAGAGAAAGAAAGAGATTAGGAAATAGGGTGAAGGAGAATAAGAGTTAATCAGCTTCTCCACTCATCATCCTTATTTATATTAACTCATAATAATGCGAGGATTACAACAATACCCTCAATTTAAAATAACCTAACATTTTAGGCATTGTTTCCTCTTTTTAAGCTTTTTTTTTTTTCTTTTCTTACTTGTTGCTTTTGGTTTTCTATTGGATAAAATTTCTTGCTTTTCCCCTTTGTACTTTTGCTCGTTTTCCATATAATATGGTTCAAAGGATTAAAATTTCGTTTCGGTTCATTGTTTCAGTTGCCTAGAAAATAGAAGCATTTCGACATGTTTCAAAAACATTTCGACCCATTTCAAAAACATAATGAAAAAAAATAAAAATTTAAGAATTATTTTTTCAAAACATTGGTCGAAATATACTAAAAAATCTTGCAATACCTTGAAATATTCTGAAATAATTGTGCAAATGTTTTGAAATATTCTGAATAATTGTGCAAATGTATTGAAATATAACAAAACATTTCGAAACATTATGAAATACCTCGAAGTATAAGAATTTCGATTTCATTAGTGATTCGTTTTGGTCTACTTGGAAACGGGAACGGAAACAGAAATGGATACGTTTCGGATGTTTCGACCGTTTCGAAACAATATTTTGATCCTTGTAAGGTTCCCATACAAAAATCATCTTCCAAGTTCCAACTAAGCACCATGCTGGTGAATGCTATAACTCCTTACATTTGCATGCTAGCTGAAAGGAAAACAGATTAAAGTTCTTCCAATAGGCTCAGGTACCGTAGATCAAACCTATCAACTTGCAATGAGATAGCTCTCCTTCTATAATGTGCTGGAGTCTGTTTAGGCAACGGGCTTGTTAAAGACAAAGTTAGTCTGAAAGACTGAATCTCATCTTTGTCTTGGGAGAGAACTTATGAAATTAACTTTCAGATTGTTGAATTTAGTCTTGTTATCTGTGTTTTAGCTTTCACACATTTTTTATTTCTCATTTGACTATAATAAAACATGGTTGGGGTAAATTCGGAACTTCATAACTTGCTGTAGCTTATGCTTCTGTTCCCTTTCCCTTTTCATAATACAGAAGTGACAAAAGAATTGGCATAGGATCCCAGCCTAGATCTACGAAGGAGAAATTCCGGCCGATGCCTTTATGTTCTCCCATATTGCTTCCTACACCACATGCCTTGGTAAGATATATTCTGACTTTTCTTTTTTTTCTTTGACAACATCCTGAAATCCTGTTATTTTGATAGAATAATTCCAGTTCTAACACAGTTGATAATGAATTGGTTTTTTGTTCTGCTAGGTCAATTTTTTTGTTGTATATATATATATATGTGGTTCAATCTACAGTGTAATGGGGTGCTCAACAAAGTAGATGGGAAGGAATAAACTGGTTCTGTTTTAATACTTATTTGCATATGAAGGCCCTTTGAATTGCTTCTTTTTCACCTGGTGGAAATTTTAATCAGCCCCCTACCATATTGAAGAATACAACTTGTTATCCTATGTTTTTATTGCTCAAAACTGATATTGGACATGAAGAGTGCTTGCAATGGAAAACACAATAGCATGTTTCCATCTGCCGGGACCATTCTCCTCTCATTGATGTATTGCAGAACTTAGAACTTAGAAGGTGACTAGGAGTTTACTTTGCTGTAACCGTCTGATACTTGATGGTTTTCTCTGTGCCACAGGCATTGCGGATGATCTTGCAATTGGGTGTGAAGCCCTCGTGGTTCAATACGTACAATATAAGTATGGATAAGGAGCATTACCAAACTCCAGTAACTACTTCATCAACAGTAGATCTTCGGGGTTATATGATTCATTCACCACCTATTGGTGACTCTGTGGTGCCAGAGATGCTCCTTAAGGTATTAGAGCCTTATCGAAAAGAAGGTGGGTTTTTTGTATTCTTCGTGGCAATATCTCTCTTGAGCATTGGATTAGCTTGCCTTTTCTTACTTTTTCTCAATGCTCATTTCTCAAGGCTGCTTACTTGATGATGAGAGGGCGAGACTATATGCTACCATAGTCAATAAAGGTTCTGCGGTGAGGTTTGCATTTGCAGCTGCTGTCTTTGGTGAATCATCGGAAGCACTTTTCTGGTTGCAGTTACCTCATGCTCTGAAGCACTTGATGAATAAGTTGGTTAATAAGTCTTCACAGAAAGCCCCTGTACCAGCTTCAACTCCCGAGGTTGATGATGCATCTATGCTGAGTAGGATAACTTCAAAGGGCAAATCAAAACGCGGAACAGAGAAACGGAATGCATTGGTGAGCCCTTTGGGTTATTGGACATTCTAAGTTCATTATTCATTCTCAAGAGATTGTATTCAGACACCTAAATAAACTTTTTCTGTTAATGAAGAATGAGGTTGTTTTTTGTTTGTAAAATTGTTTATGGAAGGTCTAATTATATCATGGTTGGCAGAGTAATGGTCAACTCAGGTTGATGGCTTTTGAGCAAGAAGAGTTATGGGAAAGTGCTAGTGAGCGTATTCCATGGCATGAAAAGTTGGAGGGTGAAGTGGCTATTCAGAACCATGTACACGAGTGAGTCTTCTCCATATTTTTTGTGCTGCCCTATATCTCTGCTAGTTGATCACACAGGAAAGAAACACTTGGCATGCAATGAAGTTCCTGTTCCTTTAAACTTTAGCAGATATTTCTTTCTCTTAAAGAACTTACCTTTCCTTTAAATTTGTTTCATATTTTTAGGACTTTCATTTCACCCAGAGCACGATCATGACCATTTTTATCATGTGGTGGTGGCATTATTCTGTTATGATGCTGATGATAATGATGATTTATCATCATTACTGTTACTGTTGTTGAATTTTTAGGGTCGGTGAACATTAGTTCTTGTTATTTATTTCTTCTTCATAAGCCTTCTTTTAGTTACCTTCTCCTTTTCCTTAGTCCTGTCCATAAATAACAGAAACAGAAAATTATTTTCTGAGTGACCATCAAACATCACATGTTTTTGCCATATGCATCCGGAAACCATTATAATTTTGTTCTATTTGCACAAACTGAAGAAATAAAGCTATTGGAGCCTTACTCAACTTTTATGTGACTGCACATTATAACCATTAATTGGTAAATGTGCACTTCAAAACTAATATACTCTATGTTTAGTGGATGAGGAATCGAAGATGAGCTGTTGAGGAAATAGTGGGACTATGTCAATAATAAGGTTCTGATTGTGCAAGGAACAATGCTGGAAAAGTGAACTAGAAGGAGTAAATTGAAGAAGAATTGCAATGTGCATGATGAAAAGGGGTGCTTAAAGAAGGTAATGTGGTGAAGTGATTAGGCATTTCAGTATCGCTCTCAGCTACCACATTTGGGTTTTTTGGTGCAAAACTTTTCAAAATTGACAACCAAAATGAATTTATATGAAGTAACTGAAAAAGACAATGCCTCCTTTTTCTGTTGAGAAAGCATGTAGGAAGCTGTTTGATTTGAGTTGTGGCACTGGCTGTAGAGTGAAGAAAGGCGCAACAAGCCATGCATTGATGCTGCTGCTGAAATTGGATAGAGGCCACTCTTTGGAAGCTGACTATTTAAGAATAGAACAATGATATGATGGAATAAGGGGTTTATGGTGTACAAAATAATTTGAAGGTCAAATGTGTGAATAAGTGGCTACAATCCCTTTAAATGTGTCACTACTAGAAAAAATGTCGGAGTATTGATTTAAAGCTTATAGAACAATCTTCGTAAGTGAAAATGAGGGAAAATAGCTAGGATGGGCATTTTTTTTTTTTTATTTCTTGCATTAAAAAATGAAGTTTTTTCTCTCTAGATCCTATGAATTTCCCATTACACTGTAATTATATTATTTTCTGGTAGGAGGAGGGCACAAATCAATAGTTTCTCTCTGGTTCTTTCCAATGCTGGGAAACCATGACTCGGCTGATTCCCTCAATGTGTGGAAGATCATATTGCAGATATGGAATGCAATAAAAGGTCAAACTCATACTGAGGCTTTTAATCTTTTGGTGGGGCCTTGTCAACTGGCTGGTGATGATTTCATGTACTGCAATGGCATCAGCAAGATCTGTTGACTATAAATACCAAATGATTCTTGTAAATTATGGGGAGAGTCAATTGTAGATATGAATCTCCCAAAGGCTATAAATGACAACCTCTTAGGGCTGTAGTACATGTCCTGAAAGAGTTGAGTTTTCATTTCACTGGGGGGCAATTCCACTGTGTCATGCAATGAACATATGTACAGTACGGAGTAATCTACATATTGCAGTCAATGTGGGAATACATCTATCCTACATTGCTACCAAAAAAAAAATAAAAATATATATATATATATATATATATATATATATATATATATATATATATAGACACGCACACACACAAAAAGAAAAAAAGAAAAATAAAATCCAACATGCATATCTGATCTATTTACTCGTGAAATGAAATAAATTGATGGAGAAGCCGAGAAGGATAATCAATGTTACATACTTGCAAAATCATCTCCCCTCCCTGCATACAATGTAATTGACCAGAATGTAAATAAATGTCAATACGGCATATGTCATGCTGATAATAAGCATCAGGTTGTCTTAATTGTGTAGTTTTTCTGATCAGGCTTGTCTCAGTTGGGAACTTAGAAGCTGCTGTTAGTTTACTGCTTTCCACTCCTCCTGAAAGCTCTTACTTCTATGCAAATGCCCTCCGTGCTGTTGCTCTTTCATCAGCTGTGTCTAAGTCTCTGCTTGAACTGGCAGTAAAGGTTAAATGTTAATTTTGAACTGCTTATGTTTCAAAACTGAAATATAAATTTTTTGTTTCCCCATATCATCTGGTGTCTTTTTATGATATCTAGGTTGTTGCAGCCAATATGGTCAGGACCGACAGGTCATTGTCTGGCACACATCTGCTCTGTGCTGTTGGGAGGTATCAAGAAGCTTGTTCTCAGGTGGTTTTCTATTTTTTGATTGGTATTTGTTGCGTACCTTTGTGATCTATGATCTAAATTCCACCTATTATTATTCTTCACTTATCTAGGAGTTTTACTTGTTTGATCTTGTGTCATTCGATCTTTTTTCTGTGTGTGTGTAGTGCATACTGATTAGGATATGAGGCAGATTTTCCTGTTTCAAGCTTACCCTGTGCCTGTTGATAATGCTTTCTGTATAGCACTATAGGCTCTATACTTGTATGGCTCACTATAAATGATTTTCTTAATCTTTGCAACTCATCTGTGGCATTTCAAAGCTCTTCCTTTCGTTTGTTGGGATATTCATCATTTGGAGTGCAGTTTTCATCTGAAATGAATGATAGGCATTAAAGCTTAGCTGTAAACAGTCCTCTCTCCCATTCTATTTGGCATAAAATAGTGGAGAATTAGCATATGAGACACCCTCATCTCTGTTTTTGTTGTGTTTCAATGATTAAGTTGCTGAATGTCTCCTGGGATAAACTGGTTGAGTGGTGGCCAATAATTGAACTTCTACCATATGGGGATGTGCAACTATATAGCTCCAACATTATTCAAAACTCTAGGTAGTTGGCACTTGGCAGTAGTTCCCAATGAAGACTAAAATAGTGCTTATGGAAATTCTGTGTAGTCCAGGTTGGATTGCAAATGTGATTATTACTGGAATTAATTGGGTGACTTGATGTTTGCTGTGATCACCTATGCTCATGAGCAAGTCCATAATGAGCTGCAGCTGTGTGCAGAAAATAGATCCAAATTCTATTGGGGGAGGGCGGTGTCTAATCTGAATAATGATCCAACTGTTTCTGTTGCTTATTCACCAAAAAAGTATAAATGTGCCTTTGGGAATTCTTGGTACTCTTTTAACAATAAAGTTTATTTTGTTGTTTTATGGGCAAACTAGTCATAATCCGTGCCTGAAGGCACGATGAAACATAAAATTCAAGCGTTCAAAAAAATCTATCGCACTATATTAAATAATAATTTTTCTTTCCTTCATTTCTTTAATTACATCATTTAAAATCTATGTTTATCTATTATTTACTTAAAAATATTGACAAATTTTTTTCACAATACGTAATCCGATAAAATTTTCTCAACATATATATACTATCGTATATGGATAATGTTTGAAATAAAAAACATATTAAACTATAAATTTATCAAATACAAAAATAATTGGGCATGTGATAGAAATGAGTGATATGATATTTTTGAGGGGAAAAATGTGTAGGGGATAAGCTTGAACTTGTGAGCTATCTTATTAAATAGATATAGAGAGAGAGAGAGAGAGGAGATGAGATATTGTGTTTAAAACATCTAAGAGATAAGAGAGAGAGAGTTATATGAGAGATAGGAGTGTTAGAGTTAAGTCCAATTATGATCGTCGGATCAGTATTTATGAGATGATCTAAACCGCCTTTTACGTTAAAATTACGTTGTCTGTTGGATATATTTATGTTTTGTCTCAAAACGATCTGAACTTCTCTTTGTCTCCAAAATTCAAACTCAGCTCTACTTTATTATATAGATGTCCATGTGCCTTATGTTGGTTGTTCTTTCTTTCATTGGTCTGACTTGTTTTAATAAGTTTCTTTCCTAATGGAGTGGTGTAGGCTGCTTAGCTACAGCAGTCTTGTCCAGATGACTACACAAGTTGTGCCAGTAAGTTAGATGCCACAACTTTGATGAGGTTGTAATATAGGTGGTAGACTGGTAGTATAAAGCTTAGTTGTCACCCGTATACTAGTGAATCTGTGATTAGTTTGCCTTCTTTTTTATATATACTCACTCACTGTGTGAGTGTGAGTGTGTGTGTGTGTGAGAGAGAGAGCAGGGGTAAGGGTGTATGCTGCATACATGCATCTGCTTCTACCAGATGAGAGAATGTCAAAGAAATGGATAAATCTTTCCTAGTTTTAATGCTTACTTGTTATAAATGAAACATGAGTTATCAAGCTAAGTTCAGCCAGATTGCCATCCCAGTTCATTTACAAATTTTCCCTTGAAGTCTGCAAAAAAGTGTGAGGGAATTCTGCATTTCTGCTCTCTTGCATTTGGTGAGATAGTTAGCTTTATGTGATTCGTAGCTTCCTTTGACATTTGGTTGGATAACTTGATCATCCTGTTTTACTTCATGATGTACTACCGTTTATGTCAATAGAATAGTTTTGTGTCCTACCATTAAGTGTAAAAAATAGAGAAAAAGAAGTCTGGACAGTTCTGAAAGACTGATAAATGAATTATAAAAACCAAACTTGTAGCGAGCAGTAAAGGTTAAATAAAGGGCACCATTTGATGGGATCATGGTAATGTGGTTTGCTGGGGGGTGCTACATGCCTGTACACATACACTGTTGGGGCAGTATACATGACGTTTTATATAGAAAAAATTAGAATATTGTTGTGACTAGGGTAATATTGGATTTAGGATATGTATGGTTTGCAAAATGTTTACTTTTTTTTAAACAGCACATTAGACATGAAAATCTGGTTGAAATACTGCTATGATAAGTTCCTGCTAGCTAAAAAATTATTGCCCATTTTGTTTCAGCTACAAGATGCTGGATGTTGGATTGACGCTGCAACCTTAGCTGCAACACATTTAAAGGGATCTGATTACGCTAGGTCTATTTTCTCCTTAAAATCATGGAATGTTCTCAAATGTTAGATCTGCTTCGGATTTTTGACAGTGTGTTTATTTTGTTTTTTTCTGAATAAGGACTTGCAGTTATTTTGATTGCTAGGTGATGTGCCATGTTTGCAGCATGACCTTCAAGTATTATATTACTAATGTTCCTGTATATTTGCACAAGAGACTTGCTTTCTGTTTTGTGGGCAAATATTTAATTAGAGTGAATATCAGTGGAAGACTGATTTTGTTTGAAAATCACCTTATGTTAGTTGGTTTGGGACAAGTGTGGCGAACACTCCTACAAGTTGTGTCGTTGAAATGGATGTGCATTTAGGGTTGATTATAATTTGTTTTTTGTGGCCAAAAGGTTGAGGGTGCCAGATTGTAAATAAGAGAGAGTTTGGAGGCTCTTCTGGGTCCTGTAGCCTAGGTTGTTCTGCCTCTCTTTTGGCGGTTACAGCTGAATGATTGCGGTGGGAATGATCTAAGCTTGTTAATGAAGCTTAAAAGCGAAAAGGACAGGCTGATAGACTTGGTTGTAGGCATTAAATGAACCTAGAATTGCACAGAAGTATATCGCTCCAATACAATCCTAAAATTCACATGCATGCAGCAAATACAGAAAGTTCCAAATACTGATGGTATCCTGTGGTACTTATTTAGCCAATCTACTTAAAAATTATTCATCCTTTATCTGGCTATTACATCAAAGACCTTTATGTGCCATCTTCATGTATCACATTGTGAATATACCCCTCCAGTGTAAGACACCAGATTTTTCTATAACCTGACATAATACGTGTGGGAGAACCAGCTAACATATGTTGGATTACTTAAATTAAAGTAATGTTATGGTAAAACGAAATTATTGATATATTCTTCAACAAGGCAAGAATGCTTGGAATTTTCTTGTCAAATGAAGTGTTTTTCTTGTGGAATAATTGTGATGTCTTGCTTGAAAATGTATTCGCATTTTTTTTTCATGAACCGCTTGAAGTTCCAACTAAAAAGATGAAATGATTATTCATTAGCTCAGTTGAAGTAATGAGCCATACATACATAGAGGCAGGATCAACTTGCACCTGGTTCAAGACAATGTTAGGTTTCCACCTTATGTAACTCTGATTGGATCTGTGTTTATTCAACCCATTGTCAGTAGTTACATGCGTCATGAATCTCACAGGTGCAAACTATAATATCTCTGTCACCATTAGCCATGTAGTATGTAGCCATCACTAAATAAGTAGAAATGAAGTCCTGCATAAGGTATTCTTGTATTGATGGGGTAGCATTGGGTCTCCAATCAAACATAATTTTACAGTCATGACAAACATGGGAAGCTCATGCAGTCCAAGGTAGGATTAAATTATGTGCTCCACATATTGTTTTATACTTGATATAATTTGAACCTAACCTTATATATAACTCAACAAATCCTTGTCCAGGTTATACTATATTTTATATGCTTGTGTATGTATTATTTCCAAAAAAAATTCATTTTTCATTTGACTTGAAATTTGCTCTTATATTTTTCTCATTCTAGTCATGATATGCTGTGGTCTCTATTTTGGCGGGGGAAAATAATGTTATGTCCCTGTTTGACTTATTTTTCAATAATCGTGTTCTGAAGACCTTGATTTCGTCAAATGTGATCCTGCAGGGTGTTGCAAAGGTGGGCCGAACATGTCCTCCATGCTGAGCATAACATCTGGAGGTATTTGTTCACCTCAAGGTTTTTCCTCTCATCTGTTGTATTTTGAATGCTAATGTTGGTCCAATGCAGGGCTCTAATTTTATATGTTGCGGCTGGTGCATTGCAAGAGGCATTAATGGCACTTCGTGAGGCACAGCAACTAGACACTGCTGCCATGTTTATCCTTGCTTGTCATGAAATCCGTGCTGAATTCGTCTCCAGCTTGGATTCAGATGGAGAATCAAGTCCTTCAAACAAGGAAAAGCTGCTTATCTTGCCAGGGTTGAATCCGGACAGTGAAGATGCTATTGCAGTTGGTGAATATTTTGGGCAGTACCAAAGAAAATTAGTGCATTTGTGCATGGACTCACAACCTTTTTCTGACTGAGCAGCCTCACTATCACGGTTATCTGTTTATCTTTCTTTTGGATCCCTGTGGTCTGTTCTACCACCGATGAAATTACGAGAGAAACAATTCAGTGCCAGTTGAAGCATCCCCTATAAAATTGAGTGATGAAATCACTTGGACTTGGTACACCAGTGGGAATTTCCAGTTGGATGAATTTGAACAAAGTGGGCTGTGGGGAATGTCAGGTATATCTGGAAAATCTGCATCTCCTGAGGGTGGCACATTGTGGCAATCCTTATAAAAAGAAATCATCATGTCGAGGCCCGTGGGTGATGATGTTGTGGTAGCCTTTTAGAAGATTATGCGAGCAACATAATTTTATTTTCGACTCTTCACATTAAAATGCAGTTTGGGAACCAACATTGGTTGAGAGTTGTACATTTATTCAAAAGGGAAAATTATTGTATCCACTGTATTTTGGGCAAATTCTACAATTCATTTATGTAATTTTTATCATTTAGTATTAACCCGGAGAGTTCATGTAGTTCTCCCCGTTTAGGCCTCCCTTAGTCATTGGTTCGCAACGGGTATGAGCTAATTCTATTATGGTCACCATTTGTCTACAACTGTTTGTAATTGTTCCTCTCTACTCTCTTCCGCCGGTGAAAAAAGAGAGAGACGGGTACAGTTAATAGCAAAGAGTATAGGGTAGGATCCGTCTGCCATTATCTACTTCCTTAACTCACCCCTCCTAACAATAGTATCGCATTGGCACCGTTATAATGCTTTGTTTTAATAAAATAGTCCGATTTTCCTTTTCAGGATCCACTCAATAAGGTCCCTCGTGAAGTCATTCTCAATCCGTCCCTCAGTAGGCAAGTGACAACTTGCTCTCATTGCTGGAGCAGCTTGGGCTGTCCATCGGCGGCCCACAGTTGTGGGCCTGAGTAGTTTTGTTTTTGGAACAGCTGAACAGTAGGATGTGACTATTTTCATGCTGAATATTAGAAATTCTTAGTTCAGAAATTTGTCAAGCCTAGGAGTCAACATAGACTAGAACATTGATTTTTGCAAACTTCCCCATCTACTAGAAGTCTTTGTAGCTAAGAATCGCAGGATTCGAAAGCTTAACAGTAGTGTGTAAATTTTATTTTATTTTTTTGGACAAAGGCATGCACATGTAACACACAATAGTCCACACACCAAAGCTACTCAAGCACACTGAGATGCTACAAAATTGGCATGATGACTCAATCAGAGTGGGATGCCAATAACTCGGGCCAATAAAAAAAATCCATGTGCAACAACATTACAAGAATTACTTGATACGTTATGCCACATGTCAGTGCAGCTATAACCCAAATAGCAGACTGCAATGGTCCCAAGAGTTGTCATTTCTCTCATCTTCAAGGTTGATGGCAGCTTGAAAGACGTTCCCATGGTTCGAATACAAATGTAAGGCGAGCTTAGTTAATACTTCCTCAATATACACTTGATACCGACCAAAGAATCTATAGAGCCGCTGTCTTTGCTTATTTCCTTGCTTGGCTACCCTTGAATGGCTTGCCTCTCTTTCACTCTTTTGGATGCATCGGATCCCATATAACAAGCAAGCTCAGTTCTTCTGATTTCCTCTTTTTACCACAAAGTATGGCTAGATCGAAATTTCAGCAAAATGACTAGATTGTCTTGCTTTACACCAAATGTATAGAAGCTCAGATCATTCCATCGTAAGTTTTTTTTAAAATTTTTTTATTGAGTAAGGAAAATATTTACAAGAAGCAAAAGGATAAGCCACAAGTCGGCTTTAATCCTTGAAAAACAACCTACTGCCTTAAGAATTACAAACCAAGAAAAACATATTCCATAAAATAGCAGTAAGCTCGCACTAGACTCCTCAACACCTTCATCAGCACCTCAGCAACTCAGCTTCCCATCAGAAAATCAACAAAGTCAGCTTCCATACTCCCCCACACCCCTGAACAATACAGCACATCAACCCATATCATCAAAAACAATGAACCTCTTCTTTCAGAAGCACAGGGAAGCCTCTGATATACTGGGACACAGCAAGCTTGACATTACAAGGCAATTCCAAAAAATCCGAAAAAGCCACAGAATTCCTGAACCGAACAGCATGATTCGCTAGGCTATCAGCAATCGAATTCACCTCTCGAAACACATGAACCAGCAGACATTCCACAACATCCATCAAATACCTAATCTGGTCCCTGATATCTAAAAAAGGCCAAGCACAGTCACACTTCCCAAGAACTGAATTTACCAGAACTAAAGAATCACATTCAATTGATAAACCATAAACAAACAATCCATGATCTCTTGCTAACTGTAACCCATTCAACAAAGCTCTGAATTCCGCAGCCATATTAGAACATTCCATCGTAAGTGCATGGTGACAGAACATCCCAGAAGCCAAAACGAAGAATTTCATGTTTTGAAGACCGAAGCAATTACGTTTTTCACCTTCACGAAACAATCCAAACCTGCTTCGACCTTTCCTTTGTTTCAAAAGTATTACCACTAAGTAACATGACAAAGCATACTCATCCAAGAAACTGCAGGAGACATTAAATTGTGAACTCGCATTCTTATAATTTTCAATATATGTACAGTTGGGCACTGAAATTTGAAATTTTTCGATTTATCAATAATTTGTGGTCATAATGAAATGATACCGAATACGAGACAAAGGACAAAGTATTTTACACCTTACCTTCTAGGTTCTTATATACTAGTGAAAGAATCACTTACAACATCAAGCAGACCCCAGCTCCTCAAACTCGGTCTTAGTCACACACATTGCTTCAAAATCAGGACTAGATGCCAAAAGTGAACCCCCACGCTAAACACCTAAAATAGGACTGTCCAGACAAGAAAGTGTTTACCTATCTAGAAGTAGCAATAAGTTTTAGGAAACAGTTTTTCAGGTACAGAAGGACTTACTCTTCTTGAGTAGTTATCTTCACTTGGTATATATCAGGTACAAGAGGTCGGAGATCCCTTTCTCTACAGTGGAACAAAATTATTTGTGGTGAATTCCAAATTATCCATTACGAAAATATTTCAAAGCAGTGGCAAAAAATTGAAATCTTACAATCTTTCAGCAAATCGAGGAAAAAGTGTGCTTTCACCAGTCAATATAATGCTGCCCAAACACAAATTTGAAAAACAGGTTAGTGCTACAAACCAGACATGCATACCAACAAGCAACCACATGACGAATTTTCACTGGTAAAAAATCTATGGATTCCCAGTAATACCTTTCATAGAGTACAGGGTGAAGATGAGGATGGCAAGAATTGATAGCTTTAACAATGCACTCTGCTAGTCCAGCTTGATTCATTCCTGCAAAATGTCCACAAGTCAAGGACACTGCAGGTTGTAAATAAGGAAAAAGAACGAGAATATATCAATCAATGAATCTTGTACGCAAATTAAACAAAGATTTTTTGTTTTTTTTTGGGCTAATGAAAAAATTGAAAACCTCATAATATAAAATGCTATACCGACCCAAATCAGCAGGACGAAAGATCATCTCTGGGACAAGGAAGCGCTCATTTGTCAAAGTAAACTCCTGTTAAAAAGGTAAAACATTTAGACATGGGGTCTTTGGCATGGACTACTTTCTCAAGGGAAAATGTATAGTGCAGTTTGTGTTAAATCAATTTTTCTTCTGTCCTCGGGCTTTTCTCTAACTTCTAGCTGATCCATGTCCTCTTTTCTTTTGGGTTGCGGAGGTAGGACTCCATCTGTAAATGCAAGGTATCTATTTGCCTCACCTGGATCTTTTACAAAACCTTTTGTGTGTGTGACACCATCAGGAAGCACAAATGTGCACCTGAAGTAGTTGTCCTTTCCATGTTGTCTGTAAGAATATTTCAGAAGCACTGAGCAAAACAAGGCAATGAAGGCCTTCATAAGAGACTTTTGACTTTTGTAATAATAGATTATGGTCAATTTTGAAGAGAACATGATTCATGCTTTCCCAAGCCCCGAGCTTCAACTTCAAAATCTGTCCTGACTCATGTTTTCACATAAATTCATCCCCCATAGTAACATGACGTTCCTTCTAAAACATATGTTCAAAAAGAATTGACTCTCTTTGGTTCTTGATGCTAGTTTTCTTATGCTCCACCAGTTTACCATTCACACTAGAAATTTGTTTGGAGTTTATGGAACCCAACAACCAATGGAATTGAAAAATTGCTAACTAATTACATATCCTCATTACGTTGTAAGTTGGTACCTGGTTTCTCTCCGAAAAGGGATATAAGTCACCCTCACAGCCTCGAGATATTTAAGTCCCACAAACATATAACTATCTTTCATGTAATATCAGCAAACACGACATTAAACTACATCGATATAATTATCAGTTAACTGGAGCTTTTTGCTTTCTCAGATCCCAAATAATGGAAAACCTATAAAGATAGGAATTCCTCTTTTGATCCGTGCTGCTTCGAAACAACCAAACATAGAATAAAGTGAATTCATTTCTTTTAAAGCCTTTATTGTCAACATGTTCCATAATTTCCATTTGAACAAACCCCTAAAAGGCTTAGGATTTATAATTATCCTAACCATATAGAGATAATATTCAGCAAGAGCACTAGTTTTCATTGAATAATTCAATTTTCAGTAAGTGGCAAAAATTTGATATACTGGTAGGAGGAAATGTTCAAATGCAAAAGCCTAATATGATTTCTTTTTTTCAATAGGAAACGATAATAACACTAATTTTTAAAGTAAAAAGTATTACAATAAAAATAATTCAAAGGTGGACAAGACGTCCAATCCAAAGACAAGTTGAAACAAAGTAAATATAACAAAAAACCAAAAATTATTTCACATGAATCTCTTCAATTTGAGATGATGCAAAAAAGAGGAAAATTCTCACACTCTTTATACAATGTTCCCAAAAGGAGGCAATCTCATAGACCTTCGACCTCCTCACATTTGTCATAAAAAAATTCTCACATTCCTTTTCAACTAAATAACCTAAACAGTAGCAAAACAAGCATAAATCCAAGGAATCTATCGTCTTCTATTTCCACCCCACTTAGCAGTGTGCAACTATTCATAAATCCGACTCTGACTCCGGTTCGCCTCCGCCTCTAATCAGAGTCGGAGTCAAAGTTTGAAATCTTTTCTGACAAAACTCTTATTCTGACTCCGAAATTTATTAATTAATAATTTTAGAAAAAAATTATATAAGATTCTTGTCTTTGAGACACATCAATTAATTAGAATACATTTTGCTTAGTGTTTAAGACATAGAATCATAGTATCAAATTTAAAACAAAGGATGCTAACAATGTGAATACTAATCATGCATTTTATTAGAGAGAAAGTCAGATCAAGCTTTTCATTATAGTCTGAAATTATTTATTTTACATATTAAAAACAAAATGAGAGCTTATTGTAAATAGATGGTGGGTTAGTCATATTAATGGTCCCAATCCAACTGTAGCCAATCCCAATCCCCACCCCAATTTAATTTTCCCTCTCTATCTCAACTTTGACCGGAAAGAATCAAATGAGGAAAACCTATTGCTCCATCCTCCATCGACAACAACGATGGCAGAGATTCACTCCGCGTAGATCCAACGTTCCTCATAAATTCGTAATGGATGGGATAGTCAGCTTCGACTGCCTTTGGAGCCCTATCTCGTTGTGAATCCAACCATAGCCATCAATCTAAGTTCAAATTCGTCATCGTCTATCCCTCAACGGTCAATCAAAACTTATCTCCATGATTCCTTTGCTTTTCTCTCACTTCGAGTGCCATTGTTTATGGGTTTTTATCTGAACATTGTTTGTGAATTTTTTTGAACATTGTTCTTATTCAAATATGATTATTGGATTCTAGGTAGGGACGATGATTTAGGTGTGGTGGATTTTCGATGATCCTTTAGAAACTGGTTTTGGGTGTTGCAATTTCTGTGATTCTTCTATGATTTTTGAGGTCCTTTTTTAGATCTGTTTCTTCTTCAAGCAATGGAGATGTGTTGGTGGTGATGCTCTGTTTGCAAATTGTACTATGTTTGTGCTTGTTTTTCAGTAAGTAAGATGAGGGATAAAGGAGTAGAAAAAGGGGAAACAAAAGTAACAAAATCTACAGTGGATTTATAGTTGATTTGCAACAAAGAAGAAACAGAGGATGACAAGACAAGGCACGTGAGGGGTGCATAAGTCACTGAGACAAATAGGCCTAGCCAAACTGGTCAATAAGCTCAGCAAGCAGTGAAAGAGCTTGGCTCTTACCAAAACGTGCTGCTCAATGATTCAAGAAGTAATGAAAGAGGTCAGTGCTCGTTATGACTGAGCTGTTTCAAATAGTAGATGGAAAGATAAAGATTCACATATAACTTAGGCATCCAAGATAAGCCAATGAACTTGATTCTAGGTCAAGGGAATTGCCAGAAAGATTTCAGCAGCTATCCAAACTGAATCGCTAAATGAAAGGAAGGTGTGCCACCTTGAAACGAAAATCATGCAAACCCTAATCAAAGAGGGATCTATAAAATGCACAAGAAACCATAGTGAAAGTTACGCTGAACTCTCCTTATCTTTTTTCAATTGTCTCAGTTCCATTACTAACTTAAGCATCGGAGTGTCTTCGATCGAAGTACTTTTATCTTGGGCAGTTTGTTCGTTTTGCAGAACAGAAAAATTGAGAGATCAAGTTCAGAAATATTCTTTACCAGAAATATCAAATTCAATCTTTAGTGAGAGATATCATCGATTTTTATCTCTTACATTTTTTGGCGCCGTGTGTGGGAAGATTTTCATCATTTGAAACAAAAAGCTACGATGTCGAGACTTAGGAGTGCCATTAGATCACCCCACAGGCAGTTTTGCCTTGGAAAATTCGATCCAGTATCGTTTCCACCTAACAATAATGATAGGTTGCATGCCAACAGAAGCCTATCTAGACCTCATGAGGATGATGAGTTATCCTCAGCCAGTTTCAAACCATCTAGGGATCAAAACCAGCAAATTGTGGGTTGTGGGGAATCCCTTTGTGCTGAGGGGGAAAACCACTCCTTGGCAAAATTGGTCCAATCCCTGCAAGACAGGTTGGATGCGCACAAAAAATTATTTAAGAAATCCTACGCCAGGGAAAAGAGCCTGATAAAGGAGAATGAAGATTTGAAAGCCAAGCTGAAGGAGATAACCCGAAAAGAGAAGCGTGAGAGGGACAGTCGATGAGAAAGTCCCGAAAAGAAACATGATAGAACCAAGAATGCCAAGAATGATAAGTACTAGCAAAAAAGACCTCGGGTTCTAGAGGAGGACTCTTGGAAGTAGTACATCATCGAAGAACTAAACAACCGCTTGAAGAGGCCAGAGCAGAGGTCGGCTAGGGACCTAGCCAAAAGGGCGACCAAAGAATACGGTAACGGCTCAAAGTCATCTCTTTTTACTTTGTGGATTGAAAG